CAATCGCGGTGTGACGATGTGCGGGGTGTCAAACTTCAGAAATTGTTCGCGTGAGAGCCAATCAAGTGGCGCCACCCGCATGTCTGGTATGTGCGGGGGACTTTCAAGCAGCGGGACTGGGAGGTTCCAGTCCTGGTCGTCGTCGTCGTTGAAGTCGCGGCGCGGGCTGAACGGGTTGTTGTTGGTGAACGCGCCGATGGGGTGCAGTGCTGGCTCAGGTGAGGGTGAGCAAACACGGCGACGACGTGACTCGCCTGTCATGGCCATGTTGCTCATGACGTTGCGCGTAGGGGCAGTTGATGGCTGCTGCTGCTGATGCTGAACGGTTGAGTTCAGATTGCGCGCGGGTGGGGGTTGATACCCTTAGGCTGGACGCACGTCGCCTCGTGCGTCTTGTCGACCGGACCAGTTGCTCGGATTGGTCTGGCGAGGGCGAGATCGGAACTTACATCGATCCGCCAAATGCCTGAAGTTTCTGCAGATTTTGCAGTAGAGGCGCCGCAATCGTCGCTCTTCGTTGTTGTTGGCGTAGAAGGCGAGCCGTTTACGTTCTCGTCGTGGCGCTGGTCGCTGCTGATCCATATCCCGTTGTTCGACGAGAAGGGCGGCGCAAAGGACGGCCTCCGAGATGACCCCCTGCTGTCGGAGGAGTGCCTTGCAGGGCCGCCACTCTGGGCCAAGCCCTTGAAGCACAATGTTCACGAAGATTTCCTCAATGTTCCCAACTTCACGATTTGATCGCGAAGGCTCCGACAGCGGTTGATGTAGCTGTTGACCTTCTCCCCTGAGGTAATCTTAGTTTCCAGCAGTTGCTGGAGTAGTCGGCTCGAGGAGACGGAGTCCTTGGGCTGATACACGCCGTTCAGGTGGCGCCAAGCGTCGAGGGCTGGGGCAGCCGATGTCTTGTATGAACGAATGTTCAGCTGCTCCGCCGGTGACATGTTACGCAGAAGAATCCCGTACGCCATCAGGGACTCGTTATAATAGCGAGTCCTTGCGTTGTCGGTGTCCTCAGCAGGTCCCGAGTAGCTCCTGTCGTAATATTGATAAATCTGCGCGTTTTGCAGCAGCAGCTCCAGCTCGAAGCTCCAGGTGTAAAAGTCTCTGCCGTCAAAGCACACACTTGTCTTTATTTTTGATATGCTCAAAAACCTTGATTGCGCGGAGAGAATTGCTTCATCGCTGGGACAGAGAGTCTTGGGGGTTGAGCCGTTCGTATCTAGGGAGAAGCCTTGCGGGGCGGAGTTTTGGCCGTTTGGGGCCGGTTGAGTGGGTTGGGAAGAAGTTCCCGCATCGCCATTCCGCAATGTCTGGAGCCCTTGCTCCAGGCTCGTGAGTCGCTGAAGCAGTTGTGCGAGGACGGCGAAAGGAATCGTCGTCCTTTCCTCGTATGTCCCAGCTGGGTTGGGCTGCGCTTCAGCCGTCAGATTCGTCTGAACTCCAGATCCTCCGGCCATTCTTACACGTGATCGTGTGCCGGACGCCACTTTCCGAATGTCGCGGATTTCGGAGATGGCGGTGCGAAGGATTCCTGAGTCGCTCTCATACCATGCTGCGATCAGAAGTTGATCGTGGCCTAGGATCTACTCAGGAAGGTTCAGGCAAGCAGCGAAGTGATGTTGTAGGGCCCTTGACCTCAATAGCAGAGTGAATGTAAATGCTTGAGATAAAATAAAACATGCAAATACAACAAATATAAATATGAGTACAGGGGAGATGAAACGACCTAGCTAGCCATGTACTCTAAGGGGTACATTCCCTTATTCAAATACATTCCCAATTGTGCAGCGCGAACAGTTTCGAAACTGTTCCCGCCGAAGCCATCCTGCCTGCAGCTGCCTGATGCTGTCTGCTCCGACGGTTCAGATGCGTCCCAACTGTCTGACGCTTCGAGTCGTTTCCAACCGTCTGACGCTTCGCGTTCATTCGCGATACTGCGTGCTTCTCTTTGCTGCGGTGAGGAGTGCACAGTACAAATTCAAGTATTACTATTCGTAACAGGCATGAGCGAAGAATATATATAGCAAAGCTACAGTGGTAACGGTAATGCGTAAAATCGGGTGCGCGACGGGCCTAGCGCCGAGCAGGGCTGATTTTATCAGGGTAATTACCCTGATTTCAAGGTGATTTCAGACTTGTCACATTCTGGTCCCTGTAATTTCAGGTTTAACGTCTTCTGAACACTGATCTTTGTCAAGAATGAGGAATGAATGAACTAGCACAAGGTTGGGTACAAGTAGGAAACCCTAGAAAACTGTACCCCATAGTGTCTACCCCACTATAGCCTAGACAAGCTATATGATATAAGTTTGACACACCCCCATAGGCAAAGTGGGGGAGAACAAGAGGTCACAAGACCAGTCAAGCAAAGCAAAGCAAGCTCAGGGTGGATCACAACGTCACCACACAATCCGAGCACAAGAGCAAGGCCACAAGGCCAGTTCACATGCAAGATCATATATAAAGGTAAACAGGCAAGTGCAGATAAAGAAAGATCACAGTACAAGCAAGGTCAAGAAGTGAGCAAGTGAGGCCAAGTAGGCACAAGACCTAGCATCGTACAGAAGCGCTGATGATCACCTGGCGGAAGTGCCTTGGTAAAGATATCAGCAGTGTTGGCCTCAGAGGCCACGTAAGCAAGGCGCAGCTGACCACGCTGCTGCAGCTCACGAGCAAGGAAGTAGCGGAGAGCAATGTGCTTCGTTCTGTGCTCTAGTCGGTGCTCCAGACACAAGGCCAGCATGGCCTTGTTGTCTACGTACAGAATTGGAGGAGAACGAGGCGGCTCTCCTAGGTCAGTCAGCAGGTAGGTGAGCCAGCGTAGCTCCTGTGCAGCCATGGCCCCCGCGTAGATCTCAGCCTCACAGCTAGAGCCGAGAACAGAAGACGAGCGGGTAGACCGCCACGAAATAGAGCCGGAGCCAAGGATGAAGGTGTAACCCTGTGACGACCGCTGCGTAGCCTGGTCGTCAGCCCAAGAAGCGTCTGCGTGACCTTTGAGGACCACTCAACGTTGCCCTCCAAGCACTAGCCCCATGCCCGACGTACTGCACAAGTAGCGCAACACCCTCTTCGCTGCAGCCATGTGCTCTGGTCGGTGTCTCCCAGGAGCAACATAGCGTGCCAAGATGCTAAGAGGGTATGCAAGGTCAGGTCGTGTGCAGGTCATCAGGTACATGAGGCAGCCAACAAGCTCTGGATACGGGCCACTCGGCTCTACGGACTCATCCGAAGGCAGAGCTGAGAGCGAGTGGCGAGTAGACAGAGGAGTGGCCTGAGGCAAGGAGTATGTGAAGTCGAAGCGCTGAAGGACCTGCTGCACCATGTGTGACTGAGTCAGGGTAATGGTGGGCTGTGCTCTGTCCCGGGTGATCTGCAAGCCAAGGTAGCTGCGCAGTTCACCCAGGTCTATGCACGTGTGTCTCTTCTGCAGCTCGGACTTCACGTGGGCGAGTCCAGCAATGTCAGCAGTGGCAAAGACCAAGTCGTCAACGTACACGAGGATGTAGAACGGCGGCAAAGAGGTGTCGGTACGCAGAAACAGCGGTGGGTCGGCTGTAGAAGGAGAAAACCCAAGAGCCGCAAGTGTAGTCCTCAGTGTGTCGTGCCACTCATGGGGCGCCTGGCGGAGACCGTAGACTGGCCGCCGGAGGCTCCAATGAGTACCAGGAGGAAACGACCCAGTGAAGCCAGGTGGGCGGCGCAGCCAGATCTCCTCGTGCAAGCTGCCCTGCAGGAAAGCTGTGCTGAATTCTAGAGAGTGAAGCTCGTAGTCGCGCTGAGTGGCTATGTGCAGCAGCACCCGAAGAGTGGTCATCTTCGGGGTGGGAGAGAAGGTCTGAAAGTACTCAACTCCCTGCCGTTGACTAAAGCCTTGAGCCACGTAACGCGCCTTGAAGACAGGCAGAGAACCCGGCGGCCGCTTCACCCTGAAAATCCACATGCCACTGACGATGTTCGCCCCAGGTGGGGGAACCTCGTCGACGTAGGTGCCTGTGGACTTCCAGAAAGCCATCTCTGCGTCCATGGATGGCTGCCACTGAGAGGAGTAGGGACCCTCGATCGCCTCAGCGTACGATCGAAGAGTCGGGATGTCTGGTGCATCCGGGTCTCCCTCAGGGGCAATTAGCGTGGACACGAGATGAGGCAAAGCAGCAGCAAAACACTGGAACTCCTCCTGCCTGTCCTTAAGGACTTCCGTGCTAAGAGCACACTCACCCCCGACGGACGGAGGACAGACAGACTCAGACTCAGCAACAAGACTAGTAGCGTAGTCCAGACGACAGCGAGCAGCAAAGTTGACAAGCTCAGCAACTAGGGCCGACGCAGCAGTGGACTCAAAGGAAGGGTCAGTGACAACAAAATCCAGGAGACGCGTGACAGTAGGACTGCCAGCACGAAGAGAGTCAGACTCCGGGTCAGCAAGAACAAGAAGAGAGGACTCTGGAGGAGACGGCAACGGGACACGCAGAGGAGCAGTGGAAGGACGCAGTGCCATCTGGTGTGTGCCTGGGACCGCAAGAGGACGCGGACGCGGAGCACGACGACTAGAGCGAGCAACACGAACAGGCGACGCAGGATGAGACGCAGGCTCACGACGCTCAGCAAGACCTCCAGTAGGACCTGTGTAGGGAGAAGGAGCAGGTAGGGGGGAGGCGGGCTGAAACTGTGACTGCGACTGGACAGGCTGTGGACACTCTAAGGGAGTAGCAGGACCAGTAGAGGGCGGGAGACCAAGAACCTGCTCAAGGAGCGGAACGAAGTACGGCCTCGGCCGCGCAGCGGCTCCAGAACCAGCAGGGACAGCACCAGTACCCCCAGCAGCAGCACCAGCTCCAGTAGCACCTCCAGCTCCAACAGCGCCAACTCCAACACCCTCAGACGCACCAGCGCCAGCAGAACCACCTGCGCCAACACCCTCAGCAGCTCCAGTTCCAGCAGCTCCAGCAGCACCAACTCCAGCAGGACCGGCAGCTCCAGCAGTACCTCCAGGTGTGGTCTCAAAAGAAGGAGCGGGAAGCACCCGAGTCAAGGGTGAAGGTATGTAAGGCCTGAGCCGACGTGGTGCCTGAGAGAGCAGACTCACTAGCACCTAAGGCAGCAGACGCACTAGCACCTAGAGCAGCAGCCTCACCAGCACCTAGAGCAGCAGCCTGAATGCCCGGGTTAGGCGGAACACACACGTAACTGTCACCCTCATCACTAGCAGACACAGCATACATGGCAGCAAGAATAGCATCATAGTCAAGATCAAAGATAGCAACCCCCGCCCTAGACAGCTCTCCCCAGCGAGGGATCTCAGTGGCGTCAGGGAACTGGTGACGCCAAGCGTCCGTCAGGCGGCCGAAGCAGCGCTGGGTGGAGTGCAAGCCCCCGCACTGCTCACCAGCGCGGTCGCCGGTACGGAGGACGTAGGTACAGGGACTAGTACCCCCACCTCGCTGACGTCCAGCGTACCACTCACGAAGCTGCTGGGGGGACGGGGTCTCACGAGTGCGCTGCTGCTGCTGGCGCTGACCACCATCTAAGCCGCCCCGCTGCGCAGGGCCGCCCCGACCAGCTCCACCTCCTCCGCCGCCACCTCCGCCACCGCCGCCACCGCCACCTCCTCCGCTCCCACCGCCACCGCCGCCGCCGCCTCCGCCGCCACCCCCTCTACCGAAGCCCCCACCCCCGCCACCACCCCCACCACCACCCCCACTTCCTCCGCCTCCTCCACCTCCACCTCTACCGCCCCCGCCAGCCCCTCCAGCGCCCTTGCCCCCCTTGCCCTTGCCGGTGCGGCGTCGCCCGCTAGGGGCAGACGCAGCGCCGACCGACTCGGTGCCAACGAAGTCGACGGCAGCAGCAGAGGCAACAGAGGGGAAAAGGGGGGAGGGGGAGCACCCCTCAAAGATAGGGGCACGCGGGTCACCCCTAGAGGCTCCTACAACGACTATACTCTTCTCAGCTGCCAGGAGGCGCTCCTCGAGGAGGTCAACGGTGAGTGTGGTGGGGCAAACAGAGAGGAAGTGGTCCCTGACTACGCGAAGGGAGTCAGGGAGGCGGGTGACTATTTAGTAGAGGTTGATGTACATGGGGGGGGGGGTTCTTGGCGCAGAACTCAGCAGGAAGCGCAGTGCGGTAGCGGGTGTCACTAGTGCAAAGGTGCGTAACGAGATCAGCGACAGTGGGAAAGGGGGCGAGGTCAGGAAACAGGTACGGCAGCATGAGGCGGCTAAGGGCAGCAGTGGCAGGGGAAGAGTAGCGTGCAACTACAGCGTCGTACAAGGTCCTAGCACTCTTGTACTGACTAAAGTGCGCACGCTCAGCGGTGGGTATGTGGCGACGCACAGCAAGACGGGCAGCAGCATCGCGGGTGGCCCACTGTGAGCGAACAGTGCTGTCAGCATCTGTAGGCGGGGCAGGAGAGGCACCAGAGGTGAGATCGAACAGAGAGAGTCCGTCTACCCTATCGCACTGTAGGAAGAGCTGTAGGTCATCTACCCAGACTTCGAAGTCAACACCACGACCCTCAGCATCAAAGGTAAGGACACTGGGGGTAGCCATGACAGCAGGGAGTGCTCTCACCAGTCCGGGTGGGTAGGGCCGGGGCGCGCCGGAAGGAACAGGGCGGCAACCGCGGTAGCAGCGGCTCGACAGTGGCCTCGGCGGCTCGGCTGTTGAGCGGCTCGGCGGCTCGGCTGCTGAGCGGCTCGGCGGCTCGGCGGTTTGGCGGCTCGGCTGTTGGGCGGCTCGGCGGCTCGGCTGCGGGGTGGCTCGGCAGCTCGGCGGTGAAGGGGCCAGTAGGGGCGGCGACGGGGCCGCGTAGGGGCGGCGACGGGGCCGCGTAGGGGCGGCGACGGGGCCGGTAGGGGCGGCGACGGGGCCGCTAGGGGCGGCGACGGGGCCGGTAGGGGCGGCGACGAGGCCGCTAGGGGCGGCAACGGGGCCGCTAGGGGCGACGACGAGGCCGCGTAGGGGCGGCAACGGGGCCGCGAGGGGCGGCGACGGGGCCGCTAGGGGCGGCGACGGGGCCGCTAGGGGCGGCGACGGGGCTGCGTAGGGGCGGCAACGAGGCCGCGAGGGGCGGCGACGGGGCCGCTCGGGGCGGCGACGGGGCCGCTAGGGGCGGCGACGGGGCCGTGTAGGGGCGGCGACGGGGCCGCTAGGGGCGGCGACGGGGCCGCGTAGGGGCGGCGACGGGGCCGCGTGGGGGCGGCGAAGGGGTCGGTAGGGCGGCGACGGGGCCGCTAGGGGCGGCGACGGGGCCGCGTAGGGGCCGAGAGGGGCCTGGAAGGGGGGCGACGGGGCCGCTAAGGGTGGCGTCGGGGCCGCTAAGGGTGGCGTGAGGGGCCTCTAGGAGGGCTCAACAGAAGGGTGGCCCACGGAGCGCGCCTCGGGCAGGAGCGACTCGAGCTCCGGTCAGAAAAAAAAAAGAATCGATTTCAGTGGTGGGCCCTGAGAAGCGTTCCCACTAGGGAACCTGCTCTATACCATGTGAAGAAATGAGGAATGAATGAACTAGCAAGTAGGTGGGTACAAGTAGGAAAACCTGGAAGTGTTGTACCCCATATTGTCTACCCCACTACAGCCTACACAGACTATAGCATAAGAGTTTGACACTCTCCCCCCTTTCGTTCTTCGCGGAAAGTACCCCAGCCGCTATTGTCGCTTGTTCCCCATCCTTCAGCGCTCCCCCACCCCCCTTCATTGGAGGCACTTTCTTCAGCCTCAGCTCCCCAGGTGGCGCAAGCGAAGATCCCACGTGCTTCTGCGAGGCTTTGCTGGCGAAGCTCCTCAGCTTCGCGGCTCGCCAATTCTTCCTCTTGCTCCGCGGTGAGTTTCTTCGATGAGTCGCGTTGATGAGAGTAGATGGCCAGAAACCTCTCATAGGTGTAGGGTCGGGGCTCGCCATGGGCATCAAAGGTGTGGACGCCAGTTCCGCTTAGCATGCCTTGAAGGTGCTGTGAGGGGGGACCGATGAGGGAATGCTCTGGTGTGCCGAAAATGCCGTGGGTAGTAACTTCAAGCTCGAGCTGCGACATCCCTTCCTCTGGGGGCGCGTGGCACTCTGCTTCAGCGATGGCGGCGAGTCCGCGGCCGGCAATCGCGCTCGTTGATGTCGTCGGCGTGTAACAATCCCTGCAGATGCCATCTGGATCGGGGTTGTGTAATGCCGTTTCGCGTGGGTGGGGATGATGCGGCACCCACGGTCTGTCGTCAAGGTGCTTCCAATCCCTGCGGTGGATGTGCTCGAAGCGCAGTGGCACGAGATCAATCAACTCGTGCAAGTCGCCGCTGCAGTTGGGAATGTCGAAATCTAGGACATACACTCCATTTTCGGAGTGCGCTCGTACGATCTGCCTGCGGGGAAATTTGCGCGATTCGTAGTGCAGCAGGATGTCTCGCGTCTCGTGATCCGTGCTGAGGTCGACGCCGCAGTCCATGAGCTGTGCGGCGGACAGGAGGTTGAAGCGCAAGTTCTGGACGATCAGCACATCGTTAAGCGTGATGTGCGTGCGGCTTCCACGTGCTTTGAGCACGACAATGCCTTGTGCGCTTGCGCGCAGGCGCGTGTTGTTCGCCACAGTGACGTAAGTGATTGTAAGGGTGGGGACGGCGTTGGATATGTAACGCTCGGAGCCCACCATATGCTGGCCGCAGCAGCTGTCCAGGTACCAGGTGTTGTAGCGCTTGTTGTCGTCACGTGCGAGCAGCGCCAATCGCGGTGTGACGATGTGCGGGGTGTCGAACTTCAGAAATTGCTCGCGCGAGAGCCAATCAAGTGGCGCCACCCGCATGTCTGGTTTGTGCGGGGGACTTTCAAGCAGTGGGACTGGGAGGTTCCAGTCCTGGTCGTCGTCGTCGTTGAAGTCGCGGCGCGGGCTGAACGGGTTGTTGTTGGTGAACGCGCCGATGGGGTGCAGTGCTGGCTCAGATGAGGGTGAGCGAACACGGCGACGACGTGACTCGCCTGTCATGGCCATGTTGCTCATGACGTTGCGTGTAGGGGCAGTTGATGGCTGCTGCTGCTGATGCTGAACGGTTGAGTTCAGATTGCGCGCGGGTGGGGGTTGATACCCTTGGGCTGGACGCACGTCGCCTCGTGTGTCTTGTCGGCCGGACCAGTTGCTCGGATTGGTCTGGCGAGGGCGAGATCGGAACTTACATCGATCCGCCAAATGCCTGAAGTTTCTCCAGATTTTGCAGTAGAGGCGCCGCGGTCGTCGCTCTTCGTTGTTGTTGGCGTAGAAGGCGAGCCGTTCACGTTCTCGTCGTGGCGTTGGTCGCTGCTGATCCATATCCCGTTGTTCGACGAGAAGGGCGGCGCAAAGGGCGGCCTCCGAGATGACCCCCTGCTGTCGGAGGAGTGCCTTGCAGGGCCGCCACTCTGGGCCAAGCCCTTGAAGCACAATGTTCACGAAGATTTCCTCAATGTTCCCAACTTCACGATTTGATCGCGAAGGCTCCGACAGCGGTTGATGTAGCTGTTGACCTTCTCCCCTGAGGTAATCTTAGTTTCCAGCAGTTGCTGGAGTAGTCGGCTCGAGGAGACAGAGTCCTTGGGCTGATACACGCCGTTCAGGTGGCGCCAAGCGTCGAGGGCTGGGGCAGCCGATGTCTTGTATAAACGAATGTTCAGCTGCTCCGCCGGCGACATGTTACGCAGAAGAATCCCGTACGCCATCAGGGACTCGTTATAATAGCGAGTCCTTGCGTCGTCGGTGTCCTCAGCAGGTCCCGAGTAGCTCCCGTCGAAATAATGATAAATCTGCGCGTTTTGCAGTAGCAGCTCCAGCTCGAGGCTCCAGGTGTAAAAGTCTCTGCCGTCAAAGCACACACTTGTCTTTATTTTTGATATGCTCAAAAACCTTGATTGCGCGGAGAGAATTGCTTCATCGCTGGGACAGAGAGTCTTGGGGGTTGAGCCGTTCGTATCTAGGGAGAAGCCTTGCGGGGCGGAGTTTTGGCCGTTTGGGGCCGGTTGAGTGGGTTGGGAAGAAGTTCCCGCATCGCCATTCTGCAATGTCTGGAGCCCTTGCTCCAGGCTCGTGAGTCGCTGAAGCAGTTGTGCGAGGACGGCGGAAGGAATCGTCGTCCTTTCCTCGTTTGTCGCAGCCGGGTTGGGCTGCGCTTCAGCCGTCAGATTTGCTGACCTCCAGATCCTCTGGCCATTCTTACACGTGATCGTGTGCCGGACGCCACTTTCCGAATGTCGCGGATTTCGGAGATGGCGGTGCGAAGGATTCCTGAGTCGCTCTCATACCATGCTGCGATCAGAAGTTGATCGTGGCCTAGGATCTACTCAGGAAGGTTCGCACGCAGAGAAGTGATGTTGGTGGGCCCTTGACCTCAATAGCAGAGTGAATGTAGAATGCTTTGAGATGAATTGAAACATGCAAATACAGCAAATATAAATATGAGTACAGGGGAGATGAAACGACCTAGCTAGCCATGTACTCTAAGGGGTACATTGCCTTATTCAAATATATTCCTAACCGTGCGGCGCGAACAGTTACGAAACTGTTCGCGCCGAAACCATCCTGCCTGCAGCTGCCTGATGCTGTCTGCTCCGACGGTCTAGATGCTCCTCGTAACCGTCTGTCCCTTCGCCTTTCTTCTGCCTTTTCGTCTTCACTCTCGATAGTGCGTGCCTCAGCTTTGCTACGGTGAGGAGTGCACAGTAATATTCAAGTATTGCTATTCGTAACAAGGGTGATGCTCTTAAAGGGTATATGGCAAAGTGGTCATGTTACTGGATCAGGTCATTGGAATGCCCTTGCAAATTTGTAGAAAGTGTAGGTATCAAGATCATGTACATGAAGAGCTATTATTGTGTCCACAATTTTGAGTTTTTGAATTTGAGTTTTGAAAAGCTGGTCAAACACAAGCCGGCCAGCTGTTTAGGCTCTAAACGCGGTTGTCGCACGACTCATTTTGCCAGCCAGTAAACTTCGCTGGGGCCGTCGCGGCTTTGGCGAAATCCCTCATGCTTTCCCGAGTCTCCTCGTCGTTTCCCTCCCAAACAAAAATGGGGAAATTTTATCCCTGCTCCATAGTTTCAAAAATGTCTCAAATTTAAACTTAAGTTCACTAAGAAAAGTACAGCTTTCTAGAAGTTTGCTCACGCGAGGCCCAGATTATGTTCAAAACTGGTCCTGTGGGACAAAATTTTCGACACGTGTCCTATTTCGTATTAGCAATTTCTGACGGGGGCAAAAAACATAAAACCCCTAGGGGACCAGGACACACGTTCGGGAGGGACCAACCCTAAACACGGGGACCCGCTTGGTGTTCAGGGTTGATCCCTCCCGCAAATGTGCCCTAGTTCCCGAGGGGTTTTATTTTTTTTGCCCCGTAGAAAAATTTTCAAGCGAGATTGGACACGTGTCGAAATTTCCGCCCCGCAGGACCAGTTTTGAATATACTTTGGGCCTCACGTGAGCAAAATTCTAGAAAGTGGTACTTTTTGAGTAAGCCTGGAACTAAATTTGAGAGAAATCTGAAATTATGGACATGGAATATAGTTTCCCACAAAAATGTGTGCCTACGGGGGGGAAGTGCTTAGGGCGGGGCCAGCGCGTTCCTGTTTCACGGTTGCACAATTCATCCGTCGTGGTGCAAAACGAGTCCAATCGGTTTAAAGCGGTTTTTAAGATCAACCGTTTTCAACCTTGACAAAACAAGAGTAACCGCTCAGAATAAACTGTATTACAACTGTAAACGAACGCGCTATCAAGCTTGGCAAAATAGCCACTTTCCCATCCCCCGTGCATGGTAGATTTGCTCTCTTCTTGCAAGGATATGCCGCTTTCTGTTTCCGCACGTTTTCGGCCACCATCGCAACGATTTTTCCCATCCAACGGTCACGAAACGGGGGAGCTCGAGATCGCCAAAATCAAGGCAAGGACGAACCGTGCATTGCTAGGCAGAGGACCAGGCGAAACAGGGGGGTAACCTGGCCTCACCAATTTCCGTCATGTCAGCCCCGCAGCCGTCATCAAGACAAGGTCTTACAAACTCACTGCATCAGCAAAAATGAAAGGTCCGGAAACGGCCCGATTTTGACGGGGAATCGAAAGGAGTCCGAAACGTTATCGTCACCGGACGGAAATAACTGGCGCAAAACAGAACAATTTGGAGTCAGCGCGGGGACAGCAGTTTTTGCGGACGACGGATGCAACTGTGGCGGCTGGGCGAAAGCCTGATACTGTTTTCGCCATACAGTTCCCTCGGTCCTCATTGTTGCACGGTTACACAATTCTCTGTTCGGTAATTTCTGGTTGACGGTCTCGAGCATCAGAGCAGAATTCCCCCGAACTTGCGGGCCGGGCTGTTCCAGTCTAGGTCGTAGGAGCACCATGCTCGCCGGCTTTCACGGGAAGAGGTCACGAGAAGCTGGTGCGTGGAGTGGAGAGGCAGCTTTAGCAGGAGCGAGAGAAACAGGAGCGGGAGGGGTAAATGGGGCGGCCGAAAATGCGACTGATGAAACCCCGTTTTCTGGGCGCTATGTCTCGAAGCGGGAGCGGTTGAGGGTGGACGGGCAGAAAAAAGAATTATCCACTCACGGGCAGCCAATCTACAAGTTTTCGGCGGGAAGTGTTGCGCGGGAAACTGCGTGCGGCGGGGAAGCTCTCCCAAACGCGCCTGACCGGATCCGACACGATGATATTGAATCCTATAACGCGTACGGCGGGGGAGCTCTCCCGGACGCGCCCGATTGGATACAGGAGGGTGCTGCTGCGCGATTCGTTGCGCCTCGGCGCCTGATGTGCCGGTGAGCTTCCCCTCCCGCTCCTCCACCCTCCCTCCCTCCCCCACCCCCCGCATTCTTCTAAGGCGACTCAAACTCGCCTCGGCGCCTGATGTGCCGATGAGCTTCCCCTCCCGCTCTCCCCCCCTCCCCCCCCCCCTCCCTACCCCCCCCCCCCCCCCCCCCCCCCCCCCCCCTCATTTTTTTCAAGGCGACTCAAAATCGCTGCGGCGCCTGAGTGGCGAGCTTTCTCTTTTTCCACCCTCCCCCACCCCAACCTCCCTTTCTCTCCCTCCACACTCCCAGCCCCCCCCATCTCTCCAGACCCCCTTGTCTCCCCCATCTCTCCCTGCTGTTACTTTGTTTTGATAATAAGCTCCCCCCTTTTCTCCTTACCTCCGCTTATCTCCCACTGACTCCTCCCACCTCCCACTATCCCCTTATCTTTCTTGTTTTTTCCTCCCATCTCCTCCTATCTCTCTCCCTCCCCACCCCCCACATCTCCCATTAGCTTCCCCCCCCATCTTCCTCTAACTCCCCACATCCCTCCAAATCCCCCAGGATCCAGTCAGCCCACTCACGTCCTGCCACGTGTGTCAGGTGGTCCCCACAGTATGGTCATCTGTTGACGTCAGCAGGGATGGATGGGGCAGTCAAAGTGTGGATTCCTTTCAAAGAAAGCCCAGGAGAATGGGCAGATTCTGGGAAAACTTCTCTCTGCCCGGTTAGGGTGTTTAACGGTCACCGAGCAGCAGTGAAAGAATCGTCGTGGACGAACGATGCCGCCCGGCTCCTGACAGCCAGCCTGGATGCTACAGTGCAAGTTGCTGACGTGGAATCAGGAGCTACTGTAGCGGAGGTGCGGCAGGGCGGCGCCATGTCAGTTTGCCGCCCGGGTCATTCCAACCCACAGATCTTTGCCACAGGAGGGGATTATCGGGTTGGCAGTGTGAGATTCTGGGATATGCGAATGCTGGGAGGTGCGAGTAACGGGCAGAGTGACTGTAGCAAGAATGACTGTAAAAGGAGTGATAGTATCGAGATATCAAATGGAGGCAGCATGGCCAATCACAGCAGCAGCACAGCAGCTGCTTCTGCTGAGCCGTCCAAGCCTGTGCTGGAGTTCCCATTGGACGGTGGAGATCTTCTCGATCTTGCCTTCGATCCATCTGGATCGTTGATGGTGACGTCAGCAGCTTGCACGCGGGTAAGGGGCCTTGATAAGGGGCTGAAAGTGTGGGATGTGAGAAAGGCTGTTTCGGTATCGAATCAAATCTACATGGAAGGATACACGTGTCCGTCGGTTGCCGTCCACCCATCTGGATCGCACTTTATCGCTCAATCCAACGGCGGTTACATTGCTATATTTTCCTGTACACCTCCGTACAAGCTGAATAAATATAAGAGGTTTGAGGGGGGTCATGAAGTTGGGGGTTATGCTGTAAGCTGCGATTTCTGCGACAATGGCAATGTAGTTGTATCGGGTTCGGCGGATGGAGAGGTAGTGTACTATGATTGGAAAAGAGGATGTTGTATAGGAGAAGTGGCAGCTCACAAAGGGCCATGTAGTGTAGCTGATGCACATCCTATTCTGCAAGGTGTTGTTGCAACATGTGGCTGGGATGGGGATGTGTATATTTGGACAGGAAGCAGCAGTTGTGGTAGGAGGCTGTAGACACAGAGCAAACATTGTGACTAAACATGCTATGGTTCTCCAATTCAGTGAGTTTTGAAATAGTATGGTAGTGAAGTGAAGCTGCCTTGGCCAGTGGTTACCAGTACCGGTATCTTTGAATCGACTCAAAAATCACTTTTGACTGGGGAGGTCTTGCCTACCGTCGTACAACCACCTTCAGACAAGAAACGTGCTCTATTATCTAGTACACAGTTGCAACAATGCGCTGTGTGGGTGGCACAGCACATGCCACTACTGGACTGAGTGGGCCGCAATGGCATGACATGCCCAGAACCGGAGCATGCCAGGAGTGTTCTATGGTATGGTACTACTTGCCAGTGGGTGTGCTGTGCAGAGCCCCTAGAGGCTAGAGCTTGTATGCTGAGCGCAGCTGTTGCAGGGTAGTGTAGGTGGCTGTGGCAGGGGTGGAGGCAGAGAGGGCTTCATCCCACAGGGTGGAAAGACCTGCGAGGCAGAAGCAGGCGAGGTGAAGGGGAGATGGACGAAAAGGGACGGAAGAGGTGAAGGGAAGAGTGCCAAGAATGGAATGATGAGGCGCAGGGGCAGGGGTGGAAGCAGATAGGGCTTCTTTTCAGAGGAGAGAAAGACGCGACAGGCAGAAGCAGGCAGTCGAATGGGAGAACAAATGAAAAGGAGAAGGAAAGGAATGGCAAGAGGGTTCCTCTTCCCAGGGGATAAAATGTTCCTCTCTGCACTCTTTACATTACATATGAGACTCACAGGCACAGAAGGGAATGCGGAAAGGAGTGCCACTGGGAGGCCAGAACTATCAAGTTACAGCACTCACTGCATCCTCTGCACTACATGTGAAACTCACGTTGCGTGTCAGCGGACGGCATGCAGACGAGGAGGATGGGAAAGCGCGGCACAGAGAGGAAGGCGGATAGCAGAGTCACCGGAAAAGCTCTATCACCTTAGATCACTATCAGCACTCACTGCATTCATCACACTCACGTTGCTTGTCATTGGGAGGCACGCAGACGAGGAGGATGGGGAAGCGCGGCACAGAAGGGAAGGCGGAGAGCAGAGCCACGGTTGCTGGGGCATCCGTGCTGGGAGGGAGGAACGGAAGGAAGGGGAGAGAGGGGAGTGAGGAGAGGGCAGGAAGATAGGGGTGAGGGGAGAGGAGGGCAGGGAGAGAGGGGTGTGAGGAGAGGGCATGGAGAGAGGGGTGTGAGGAGAGGGCATGGAGAGAGGGGTGTGAGGAGAGGGCAGGAAGCAGAGCCAGTGGTGCTATGCCATCCGTGTCGGAGGGAGGGAGAGAGGGAGGGTGAGGCATTCAAGTGGAAGAGAGTGAGCTGATTTATCGAGTCGACTTTTGAGTCGACTCAAAAGGAGAGTTGATGATAGAAAAGGCAAAGATTTGGTAATTCATTGCGAAGTACCAGAATTTAAGAAATGCTCCGCAAAAAAACACCAAACCTGCCGTATCGGATAAGGTTGCAGCAGGTCAAGCAATTGAACTGCTGTATGTCATCTTTCGGTTTCGGTTGTCGGTCGCCCACGCTTTCATCGCGGAGGAGCAAGTGAGACAAGCTCTTGGCGTACTGATGAAAGCTCATATTTTCCTCAACTTCCATGTTTTGCACGCCAATAGCTCGTCTCACTTGCTCCACCGTGATGAAAACATGAGCGATCGAGAACCGAAACCGAAAAATGACATACATCAGTTCAATCGCTTGACTTCATGCAACCTTATTCGACACAGCAGATTTGGTGTTTAATTGTAGGCATTTTTAAAATTCTGGTACTACGCAATGAATTACCAAGTCTTAGAAATAATATGCATTTTTCTACCCTTTTTTGAGACACATCAATGGACTCTGAAAACATCACCTTACCACCAATAATGATGTGAGGTGACTTTCATTCTAGAATAATACATGAAAGCTTGTTCCCATGTACCAATCACAAGACTACCGGTATGACTGGGTGGTTGACGTCACATCACCCATAGTTTTTCATTTGTGTTATGTATCCATCAACATGTTTTTTGAGGCGCCTCAAAAATCATTTGTGTTATGTATCTATCAACATGTTGCCTGTTGCCCCCAGCTGGCCAGGCACACTTGGGGGAGAGAAAACATGGGGGAGGGCACACCTGGAGGAAGGGGAGGGCGCACCTAACCATAGGTGAAGAGGGTGTTGTTGTAACCGGCCATGCAGTTCTCCACCATGGGCTGCCCTGCCATCTCGACTGGGTTGCAGTCGAACCTTCTTTAAGCAGGTTCAACTGCAGTTTTAAAACTTTGTTATTAAATTAAGTTAAAAAAAAACACTTGTGAGTTGGTGTTCACCTGAAGAGAGTTGAGAGGATGATGGAGAGCACTGCAGCGAGGAGCGGCGGAGATAGCGAGTCCTTGAAGATGGTTGAGAGGCGGGCAGGCAGGAGGGACTGCAGGGGGGAGAATGGAGGGAAGGGAGGGGATGGGATGGATTGAGAGGGGAGGTGAGAGGCCGAAAAAGAAGAGTCCTTGAAGATGGTTGAGAGGCAGGCAGGCGGGAGGGACTGCAGGGGAGATGAGGATGAAGGCACAGCAGCACGAGAGAGGATGGGGGGGCATGGGATGGAGGGAGAAAGGAGGTGATTAGCGGGAAGAGAGAGTCCTTGAATATGGTTGAGGGGCGCGCAGGCGGAAGGGTCTGCCAGAGGAGGGGAGGGGTGGAGAGAGAATCAGCAGAGAGGATGGGAGGGAATGAGACGAAGGAAGAGGGGAGGTGAGAGGAGGACAGAGGGAGTTGAAAATGGTTGTGACGCGGGCAGGCAGGAGGGACTGCAGGGGGCAAGAGGAGAGAGGCCAAGAGTAGGGAGGGGGGCAACGAAGAGAGAGAGAGTCCTTGAAGATGGTCAAGAGGCGGGCAGGCGGGAGGGACTGCAGGACCGGAGAATGGGGGCGGGGGTGAGGCGAGGGGGCGGGGGTGAGGCGAGGGGGCGAGGGGTGTGGCGAGGGGGCGAGGGGTGGCTCTTGACTCGACACGGAGTCCTAGTGCGCACCAAGTAATGCTGAACCCTGCACAGCCCCTCAGTGTCTGTCAACTCAACCCTGCATCCTCCTCACTCAACCCTGCATCCTCCTCACTCAACCCTGCATCCTCCTCACTCAACCCTGCATCCTCCTCACTCGACCCTGCATCCTCCTCACTCAACCCTGCATCCTCCTCATTCAACCCTGCATCCTCCTCACTCAACCCTGCATCCTCCTCACTCAACCCTGCATCCTCCTCACTCGAGCCTGCATCCTCCTCACTCGACCCTGCATCCTCCTCACTCAACCCTGCATCCTCCTCACTCGACCCTGCATCCTCCTCACTCGACCCTGCATCCTCCTCATTCAACCCTGCATCCTCCTCACTCGAGCCTGCATCCTCCTCACTCGACCCTGCATCCTCCTCACTCAACCCTGCATCCTCCTCACTCAACTCTGCATCCTCCTCATTCAACCCTGCATCCTCCTCACTCAACACTGCATCCTCCTCACTCGAGCCTGCATCCTCCTCACTCGAGCCTGCATCCTCCTCACTCGACCCTGCATCCTCCTCACTCAACACTGCATCCTCCTCACTCGACCCTGCATCCTCCTCACTCAACCCTGCATCCTCCTCACTCAACCCTGCATCCTCCTCACTCAACCCTGCATCCTCCTCACTCAACCCTGCATCCTCCTCACTCGACCCTGCATCCTCCTCACTCGACCCTGCATCCTCCTCACTCAACCCTGCATCCTCCTCACTCAACCCTGCATCCTCCTCACTCAACCCTGCATCCTCCTCACTCGACCCTGCATCCTCCTCACTCGACCCTGCATCCTCCTCACTCAACCCTGCATCCTCCTCACTCAACCCTGCATCCTCCTCACTCAACCCTGCATCCTCCTCACTCATACCTGCATCCTCCTCACTCAACCCTGCATCCTCCTCACTCAACCCTGCATCCTCCTCACTCAACCCTGCATCCTCTTCACTCAACCCTGCATCCTCCTCACTCAACCCTGCATCCTCCTCACTCAACCCTGCATCCTCCTCACTCAACCCTGCATCCTCCTCACTCAACCCTGCATCCTCCTCACTCATACCTAGCATAGCAGTGTATAGTCTCCTCACCTCCCCGTTTCCATGTCTAGTCTCCTCACCTCCCCGTTTCCATGTCAAGTACGTCAAACCAACAGCAATATCGCATGCCACTCACCACAGCACCTCCCCTCGGTACCACTCACCACAGCACCTCCCCTCGGTACCACTCACCACAGCACCTCCCCTCGGTACCACTCACAACTCACCTTCACCAGAGCAGCCTGAGCGTCATCACACCCCTGCAGTCGCCGCCACCGCCTCTCAAACTCCAGCGCTGACTGGGGAGGGGTCACTGGTGCGGCGGCGGCTGCTGCTGCTGCTGCTGCTGCTGCTGCTGCTGCTGCTGCTGCTTCTGCTGCTGCTGCTGCTGCTGCTGCTGCTGCTGTTGGTGGTGATGTTGTTGCTGCCACCATTGCCACTGCTGCCTGCTGCTCCTGTTGCTGCCCTAGCCCCTGCTCCGGTCTCATCCCTCCTTCCCCCTCGTGCCGCCCCACTCCCATTATCTCTGCCGCAGCTGCCTTTTTACGCAAAATTTCAGCTGCCCGAGCAATGGCCTGCTCATGAGCTGTTGTGAGCTCAACGCCCCGCAAAGACTTGTGAGTCGACTCATAAGTGTGCCCCGCTGCCCCACCCTGTGTTGATGTGCGTTCAATGCTCGGTGATGACATTTCAGTCAACATGGAACTCTGCTGGACTGCCACGTGGTGTGCTGACGTGGGCTCCACGCCTTGCGGAACAACTGTTCCCATGGCTGCAGCACCTGCGCCTTGCGGATCAGCACCAGCTGCATTTGAAGGCGCATGGGAGGCAGAGGTCGAGGAGGCAGCGGGAGCGACGGGTGGAGCAGAGGTCTCTAAAAGCGCAGTTGATGTCCTCTGGCGCAGTTGAAGCGCAGTCGACACCCTGACCTCCTCCATTCCCTCTGGCCGTGTTCCTAACGCCTCCTCCTCCTCCTCCTTCTGCTGCTTCTTCCCCTCGCGCTCTCCCTCTCCCCCTTTCTCTGCTCCAGTCGAATCGGGTCCCTCTCCTTGTGAATCCGCCTCTGTAACATCACTGATCCTTACACTCCCCTCACCTCCCTCCGCCTCTGCACCCTCTGTGACCCTTCCATCCCCTGTTACCCCACCAACTTCTGTCGCCTCTGAACTCTCTGTACCCCTCTTAACCTCTGTAACCGTCTTCTCCTCTTTGACCTCCTTTACCCCCTTAAACTCCTTAATCTCCAGGACCCCCTTCACCTCCGTAGTCCCATCCTTAGCCTTCTTGACTCCATTGACCTCCTCAACTCCCTTAGCCCCCTTACATTCCGAAACTACCTTAACCTCTTTACCCTCCCTAATCTCCTGAATCTCCTGAACCCTTATTCCGCCTGTGACATCTGTAGTAAGCCCTGAAGGACTGGCAGTGCCTCCTGATCCTCCTGATCCTCCTGATCCTCCTGAAACCCCAGGCACTATGACTTGGCTACTCTCCGTCCCTCCCTTAAGAGCCTTCGCAATCACACCCACTCCCTGGATGATGTGACACACACGGAATGGGACATGATACGATATTATATTATATGATCACGGTGGGAAGGACAGAAAGGTAGGAGCGTGGTGCGTTGAGTAAACAAGGCGACTCCTACCTATGTTTTTTGAGAATTCTCAAAAGTAAACAAGGCGACTCCTACCTATGTTTTTTTGAGAATTCTCAAAAGTAAACAAGGCGACTCCTACCTATGTTTTTTGAGAATTCTCAAAAGTAAACAAGGCGACTCCTACCTATGTTTTTTGAGAATTCTCAAAAGTAAACAAGGCGACTCCTACCTATGTTTATTCTTAAGGCCCTAAGTCCTGCAAGCGGGGTAGCAACTCCCTTTGCCCCTGGAAACCCACACCCTAGACTTCACCTCCTTTTCCCCCACCGCACCCACTCAGCACCATGTAGAACCGCTCTCAACCCCTCAGCACCCACCTTCTTGGCCTGCTTCTGCAGGAGCGCATTCGCCTCTGCCTGTTGCCTTAGCAAATCCTTGTTGCCGGGATCAAGCAATAGGCCCTGGCTAATGTCTGTGGCAATGAGCGGGAGATTGAGACAAGTCGAAGGGATGGGGTGGGGAGAAGGATAGCTTTGTGCACCGTAGCGTTTGCCTACGCGTGTTGCTTTAGCAGGTCCCTGCGATCAAGCGAGAGGCCTTGGTTGGGGGATGTTCGCCTGTGCTTGCTGCTGCAGGGTGTTTTTGAGAATTCTCAAAAACACCCTGCAGCATCATGGTTGGGGGATGTTCGCCTGTGCTTGCTGTTTCAGCAGGTCCCTTGTTGCCAGGATGAAGCGAGAGGCGTTGGCTCATGTCTGTTCTTGGGGGCATGGGAATGAAGCCGACGATGACTTGGGAATGAAGCCGAGGGTGACTTGGGAATGAAGCCGAGGGTGACTTGGGAATGAAGCCGAGGGTGACTTGGGAATGAAGCCGAGGGTGACTTGGGAATGAAGCCGAGGGTGACTTGGGAATGAAGCCGAGGGTGACTTGGGAATGAAGCCGAGGGTGACTTTGCCTTGCCTAGTTTTGAGTCGACTCAAAACTACGCCTTTTACTTGAGCAGGTTTCTGTGGTGACGTTGGGGGATGGGGGTTGGGGGATGGGGGATGGGGGATGGATGGCCCAAGAGGGGAGCAGAGCGTTTGCCTCTCAGGCAAGAGTGCTTGGCTCGGCTCTGCGTGCTGTTTCAGCAGGTCCTGATTGGTAGAGAAGCAACGGCAAGCAACAGGGAAGAAACAACACAGCAACAGAGCAACAGCAACGTCATCACCGCACACCACCGCACCCCACCTTACAACGTCTCAATGGGTCAACGCAGCCTGAGCCGGCCGTAGCCGCCCTGGCAAGCGCTTTCACATACTCATTGTTGTCATGAGACACAACAGCAGCAGAACCACCACCAGCACACACCACCGCACACCACCACATCCCACCTTGCAGTGCCTCACTAAGCCCGACTGAGCCTGAGCCATACAGTAGCCCTCCGTGCACATACTCGCTGACCGCCTGCACATACTCGCTGACCGCCTTCACATACTACTCATCGTCTCGATGCAACAAGGGTGAGATGGCGCACACTGGCAGCAGCAGCACCACCACCACCACTACCGCCATCACCACCACACAATACTGCACACCACCGCACCGCCACCTGGAATTGAAGCGCGTCGAAGGGGCAAGTGCGCCTGAGCCTGGCAGTGGCCTTCGTGCCAACGCCTTCACATACTCGTTGCTCTGATGCGACAAGGCAAGATGGCGCACACACAATGGCAGCAGCACCATCACCATCACACCCTACCGCACCCCACCTTGCAGGCCTCGCAGTAGCCCTCCGTGCCAACGCCTTCACATACTTCACATACACGCCTTCACATGCGTATTGCTGCGATGCAATCAGGTGAGATCGCTCACAATTGCAGCCGCAGCAGCACCACCATACACCTCACCACCACACTTCACCGCACCCCACCTTGCAGCGCGTCAATGGGCCAACTCAGCCTCAGCCTTGCCGTAGCTCTCCTGGCAAGCACCTTCACATCACATACTCATTGTCGCAACCCAGCAAAGCAGGACCGTCCACACTTGCAGCAGCAGTAACGGCAGCATCACCACCCCACCCACCGTCCGCACCCAACCCACCTTGCAGCACGTCAATGGGCCTGCTCAGCCTCAGCCTGGCGGTAGCCCTCCGTTCCATCGCCTTCACATACTCATTGTCCCGATGCAACGCTTCTGTGCAACACGGCAACGCCCCTCACCTTGCAGGGTGTCAATGGGTCGACTGAGCTTGAGTCTAGCAGCAGCCCTCCTGGTGAGCTTGAGTCTAGCAGCAGCCCTCCTGGTGAGCTTGAGTCTAGCAGCAGCCCTCCTGGTGAGCTTGAGTCTAGCAGCAGCCCTTCTGGTGAGAGCCTTCACATACTCGTCGTCCCGATCCAACAAGGTGAGATGGCTGGCATGGCACACACTGGCAGCAACAGCAGCAGCACCATCACCACCATATACCACCGCACTCTACTGCACCCCACCCACCTTGCAGCGCGTCGATGGGTCGACTGAGCTTGAGTCTAGCTGTGGCCCTTCTGGCGAGTGCCTTCACATACTCATCGTCCCGATCCAACGCTTCTGTGCAATCCACCTCAGCCTCCTCGTACCTGATACAAGCAGATTCGATCGACACAAGCACATTAGATAAATGCCCATGATTGGATGGAAGGGCTGGTGCCTATGTCTTGACCAGACAGATGTCTTGCTTTTCATCCCTTCCCCATTTGTCTCCTCGTTCAGCCACACTACCCGACCTTCTCTCACATTTCAACTCTTCTCTCCTCCCCTCACCTGCCCAGCTTCAGGGCTGCCATGGCTCGGTTGGCGAAGGCGACAGCGGTGGGATGGAGGGCGATGCTCTAGGAGTAGCACGAGAGGGCGTGAAGTCTGCGGTTGAGAGGTGACAGGGGCTGGTACCCCTAACCCCTCAGACGCTTCTCTCCCTCCCCTCACCTGCCCAGGTTGAGTGCCGCCATGGCTCGGTAGGCAAAGGCGACAGCGGCGGTGGGATGCAAAGCAATGCTCTGGCAGTAGCACGAGAGGGTGTGAGGTATGGAGGTAAGAGGCACCAGGGGCTGGAACCCCTTGCTCCACCGTTGATTTCCTCACCTGCCCAGCTTGAGTGCCGCCGCCATGGCTCGGTAGGCAAAGGCCACAGCGGCGGTGGGATGCAAAGCAATGCTCTGGCAGTAGGAGTAACACGATAGGGTGCAGGCATATGGTTGAGGTGCCAAGGGCTGAACCTCCCCCCCTCTGTCCCTTGTCTCTCACCTGCCCAGCTTGAGTGCCGCCATGGCTCGGTTGGCAAAGGCGACAGCGGTGGGATGGAGCGCGATGCTGTGGGAGTAGCAGGAGAGGGCGTCCTCAAAGCGACCGCCCTTGAAATGCTCGTTGCCCTGATGATGAGCACACACGCACACATGCACACACGCACACAAGGATATACACACACACGTGTGGAAGGAAGCACAGAAGCAGAATGGGTTGGGAAGACCTCAGGCCTCAAGAGGACAGCGGTGGGACAGCAGTGGGATGGGATGCAGGGCGATGGTCTGGGAGTAGCACGAGAGGGCGTCCTCGAAGCGACCGGCCTTGAAATGCTCGTTGCCCTGATGGGAGCAGGCAAGCACAGACTCAGGGATGTGGGAAAGCAGATGGGCAGAGTCAGTTTGGGCAGATGGGCAGAGTCAGTTTGGGGTTTGAAACACCGGAGAGCGACAGTGGTGGGATAACCGGGATAGAGAGCGATTCCCTGAGAGTGACATGATAGGGCCTCCAAGGTGACTTTTGAGTCGACTCAAAAGCCACCTCAATTCTCTGAGAGTGACATGATGGGGCCACTGGAGAGCGACAGTGGTGGGGTAACCGGGATAGACTCTTGAGTCGACTCAAAAGTCTTACCAATTTCGAATCTTAGCTCCAATTCCCCCATCTTCCATCTCCCTCCCGATCCCGTGCATCGCTCTCCTTTTCCCACTCCCTTCCCTCCTCTCCCCACTCACCCTCTCCTTCTCAGTTACTTCCATCCCTCCCCACCGGCCCCCACACCTCCAATCCCGCCTCCATCCCCCTCCCTCCCAATCGCCCACCTCCATCCCCATCACTCACCTCTCTCCCATCCCCATCACTCACCTCTCTCCCATCCCCATCACTCACCTCTCTCCCATCCCCATCACTCACCTCTCTCCCATCCCCATCACTCACCTCTCTCCCATCCCCATCACTCACCTCTCTCCCATCCCCATCACTCACCTCTCTCCCATCCCCATCACTCACCTCTCTCCCATCCCCATCACTCACTCCATTCCTCCCCACTCACCCTTTCCTTCTCTGCTGCAGCAGCTGCCTCCATCCCTCCTCTCCCTGCCCCCACACCCCCAAACTCGTCTCCATCCCCCTCCCTCCCAGCATCCGCTGCTGCTGCCAGTCTGCCAATCAGCTCTGCAGCCCCCCCTGCTTCCCCAACCGCCCCTGCTCCTCCCCCTTCTCTTGTTGCTTTTGATTCCGCTCCTCTTGCTGCTCCATCTGCTCCCCCACCTGCTGCCCCGCCTGATGCTGCTCTTGTTCCTCTGGCTTGGCCTGATGGTTTCTTGCTACCGCCACCCAAGAAACCGACGTTCCAGCCTGGTGCTGATGTGGACGGCTCGGCGTTGACCTGGCAGTGAGTGAGAGATGCGAGGCGAGGAGTTGCGAGAAATTTTTTTAGTTCTTGAAAAGAAGGGGGATTTAGTCAAGTCTCTGGTTGAATGCCAAGGTTTGAGATTTGGAATTCGGGTTAAAGGTGAAGGTTCAGGGTTTTTTTAGTGCAGGGAAAGCGGGAGTGTAGTGCAGTTTAGTACAGTTGAGGTTTTGGGTTTATATTACTGGAGGTAAGAGAAGACTCGTGAAAGAAGGAGTGTTTTGAGACGTCTCAAAACACTCCTTCTTTCACCTGGAGGTAAGAGAAGACTCTGCTGCACTGTGAAACCCCCCACACAGACCATCATAACACCACACAGCACACACACCGCACTGCACCACACTGCACCGACTTTCCAACTGCACGCCCCCCTCCTCCACCCCACTCTCCCCCATCCTTCTTCCTTTTCCCTTCTCCTTAGCAACCACAACCAACACACTGGAGTAGGAAATTCGAGGCGTCTTGAAACCCACCTCCCATACCCCCCCCTCTTCCCTTCTCCAAATAACCAACTTGCTCAACTCAACAATAACCAGCGCACAGGAGGGTGGGGGGCGGAAAATGCGATCCCCTTGGCCAACTATAACCAGCGCACAGGAGGGAGAGGGATTCAACGTCCAAACTCTTGAGAGAAATCCGCTGTGCTCACCTCTTCCCTTCACGATGCTTACCCCTGGCCAATAAATCCCCTTTCCCCGAACGGTTCACCCCCTCCCTCCCCCTTCCCCCTCCCTCCCCCTTCTCCCTCCCTCCCCCTTCCCCCACCCTCCCCCTTCCCCCTCCCTCCCCCTTTCCTTTCCCCCCCCAGCCACGCACAAAACACAGCCCCCTACCCCACTTGGACCAACCCCCCTATTCCCTCCCTTCCCCATGCTACCACCGTTTTCAGCTATGGCCAGCTCACAGGAGGGGGGGGCGGAACCCAATGCTCTCGAAAGTAGTCCACTGTGTGCTTGATCGTCCGCCCTTCTCCTGATGCTGCAGATGATGATGATGGTGATGGAGCTGGTGCTGCTGGTGCTGCTGATGTGGCTTGTGCTGACGTGTTATTCGCGCTGCTGAGTTGGGACTTGGCTTTCTTCTTTGCAGCTGCTGACGTGCCGTCCTGACAGTAGCAACATGATGCATCCATGCACCCATGCGTGCATGGCCCCATATATCATCCACATGGCAGCATCATGCATATGCACATGCATGTAGGCATGCACATGCATGTAGGCATCCATGCACCCACATATCATCCACATGGCAGCAAGCAACATGCACAGGGAACGGAGGGAAGTCGAAACGCGATATCGTGAGAGCTGTTACCCTCAAATGGCTGTGCGCTGGAAATGCATGCATCGCTTTTCCGGTTTCCAAAAAATGATACGATAATCATACCCTCGCAGCTTCCCTCTTCTCAGCCTACCCTTCAACATCGCATGATAGATATATCAAGGCAAGACGGGCCCTCTCCTACCTTTGCTTTCCCGCCCTCTTTATCCGTCTTCCTTCCCTTCCCGGACTCGCGCCCCTCTCGGCTTCTACCCCGGCCTCCGCCGCCCGGCCGCGCCGCCTCTGCTAGCTGTTGCCAGCTGTCGAGATCGCGGAGCAGATCCGCCATGCTGACGTCGTCACTGACGTCACTGACGGCACTGGGGTCACTACCGGGGTCTCTCTAGCCGTTTTTCGCGTGCTGTCGTGGAGGAATTTCGACGAAACTTGGGGTTACTAGTGGTGGTTACGCTACAGTAATGTGAACAAATCACACTCCGGATTGCCCTGGATCGGTGATATGCCTCACTTTCAATTAACGGGTGGAATAACTGTGCGACGAGGAGGGCGATTAAGGGGGAGCGAGAGCGACGGGCAGGGGAAGTTAGGAGGGCGTGGAGGCGAGATGGACGCTCGACAGGCGCTCGACAGACAAGAGAGTGACAGGAGAAATTGAGCGAAGAGAGTTCGCCACAGGAGTGGGTAACAAGTGACGACAGATAGGTTGGGTGTTTGGCTGCGACGAGAGCAGGTCGTGAGTTTCACGCCCGACAATCCCAACACAAAATTCGCTACAAGTGACCCTCTTTCCCGTTTCTAACTTATGCGTAGTGCCATGTATCTAAACCACGCCATGACAAGCTCAAGGCCACTTTGGCTTCTGTCAAGGACTACGACGTGTATCAAAATATTATTCATTTTCTTTAAATGTTTTATTTATTACAAATTCTAATGTTTTTAGAGAGAGCTGTCGTTATCAGACTACTTCTCTCATGAATCTATGATCGAATACATACGCGGGTCTGGTTTATTCGGAGGTGTAGGCGATTCTGGAGGTTTGTGTTCAAAAGCGTATGACGTGTTCGTGATTTGTTCATGGTTGCTGCTCTGTGATGCACCGAGAATCTTCGGGGCGTAAAATTTGGAAATTTTGTTGTCGGCTTGACGGGGGAAAAGAGTCCCTCCATTGGTTGAACGGCTGATCAGGGGGTACGAGCGCGTCAGAGGGGCAAAATTTGCATTCAAAAATTGCGGGAAATCACTCCCTCGCTGGTTTTCATTGCCACCTCGCGCAATCATTCACCCTTTGGGACCAGCCTACACAGTCCTCAACAGTGCCATCGAGGCGTCTAGACAAACCCCCTACGAGCTTACGATAGGGGTGCTTGTGTAAATGGGCGCGAAACACGATCCCGCTTATTTCTAGTCGCCTCACTGGATGGCCGATGAGAGTCAGCGGAAAACGCGAATGCAGATTTCCTCTCACCCGAGCGACCCGAACCAGTCTTGCGTTGTCGTACGGAGCCGCGCTGTCTGTGTCTTGGTGGTAGGCTTGGATGCCGAACCAGAACTTAACAGAAGCGAACCCAGACATTTTGTCTGGGTGCTTTCCCAGGGCTTGCTTGATCTGGCTCGTCATTCTTTCTGGCAGCAAGTGCACGACGGAGAGCTCAGGCAGCCCCCTCGGGTGCTGCGTCGCAGCGCACTGCTTCGCACGCGTCGTTCGCCTCCTCCAGCATCAGAGATCCGAGCCTAGACGAGGTGTGGGTGTGGAACCACACCTGCCCAGGCCAGACCAATCACTTCCCAGTGCCCACGTACCCCCTTCCTGCAGCCAAGGCCTTCCATAAATCTTCGAGGCCGAACCAATTTCTCCGTCACGATTCACTTTTCTCGCTCTTGCCCACCACATCTGAGCACTACCTCCCTCCGAGATTTTTTATTGTCTGCCCAAATTACACCAGCTGCTCCCTTCCCTCCGCTTCCCCTGCCTCTTGACGGGAGTCGTGAGACATACGGAAACAGCAAACCCTCATTTGACGTCGTGCGTCACTCTCACGAACCTCTCCAACACCCGAAAACAGCGGAGCAGCCCGCCTCTTCCATCCAAACCCAGTTGCCCAGTTTTCTTCCTCCGCCCCTACCTCCCTCCCGAAGCTATTTCTCCTTGAATCTGCCTTGGTGAAGGGTCTTTCGCCAGAGTCCAACCACGAACAGGATTGCTATACTCGCATCAGATTTCAGCAATAAGCAACAATCCGTCATACTTCCTGCATTCGCTCGACCTGCGCTCTTCAAAACCTCGCATTTCATCGCCACTCCGTTAGACCAAGGATCAGAGCAATAAATATCCGCACCGCGCCTCGGAACCATAGGATCGCGTCACAGCAGAAGATGGACGCGTCATCGGTGCTCAACCCGTGGAGCCAACAGGCCGTATGCAACCTCACGCGCCTGGCTCGCAGCAGCGGCCGCAACCACCGCGTGCGGATAAGCGCGCCGAGCGGCGGCGGAACCACGAGCGCGAGCAGCAGCCCGACGGACGGCGAGGCTGTGCTGAAAGCGATCGGCGGCGGGGCATCGCCGCAGCACGACGATTCGGGAGACATGTCCGAGCCAGGTGAGATACCTTGAGGGATCGAGTGTTGAGGGTTCGACTCTCTGAGGATTGAAGGGTTCGATGCGATGAGGAGTGTTTCAGCGAGCGTGGGTGTAATGCAGGTCGCGTGAAAGGATCGTGCTCTGGTTGGGGTTGCGGAGACCACAAGGATTTGTTTTTTTCGTATTTCGCACGTTGTGGTAACTCGAAATATGAATTAAACTTATCGTTTCTCGTGTTCTTAACTCTCGCTTCCTCTTTCTTCCTGCGCTTTCTCCTACAGAAGTGACGTCCCCTCCTCGACGTCGCACTCGCGACCAAGCCTTCGACACAGCGTCGGAATCCTCCGAGCCGTCGATGTCGCCTCGGGAGCCGCCCTCCTCCCCGTCCCGCACCTCCTCCTCCTCGATTCTCTTCCTCGGCCCGCCGTCCTCTGCCGTCCCGCAGACCCCCAACGTCATGATTCCGCCGGCCACGGAATGCCCGTACGCGCCGCGGAAGATGCGCAAGCTGGGCGGCGGCCGGACGGCGCTGATGATGCGATCGGAGGGTATTCGCCGCCTGATGCGCGCGATCACCTTTGAGTAAATGCGGTTATTGCGACTGGCCGCGCGATAACCTTCGAGGAATGTAAAGCTGCGCGACACCGAACGGCGTCCCTGAGTGAACGCGGCTATTTCTACTCGACGCGCGGGCAGGCGGACCCTCGCGAAATCTCCAATTAACTCTTTCTGACGGATTTCTGACACGACCTAACAGGCGATTCGGTAAAGATTGCGGTTCTCTGCGGCAGTGGCGGAAGCCATGGCGCATCCGGGTGGTTCACAGTACAGCTTCCTCCTCTTCCTGCGCCATACTCTCTCTTGCTGACTCTTCCACGCTCAATGTATGGGTGTTGCTGGCCTTGGTGCTGACGCTGACGCCGCAAACTGCATTGCATCTGCAGTCGCATCGTTGTTGCGGATCTCGTTTCGTCACCACTATCCCTAACTTCGCCCCAGGTCTGCATTCCATTGATGCGGCTAATCTCCTCATTTTTAACAGCACCACTTCAACAACTCTTTCCCTTGACAGAATGATCGCCTCTTCTGTGTACACGATCAGCCTCTCTTCTGTGCAGACGGAATGGCTCCTATGCTGCTTTCAGGGCATATACTCCTTTGCACCTTTTTATTTATTTCCCATTTCCTTGCTTTTTGTACACTTCTGCCCAGCTTTGTCAGCTTTCACTTAGCTGTGGATGTGGCTTTTGCTGTGGCATGATTATCATACTACGAAGCCTCAAAGGAATTTGTTGGCTTCTTGAGATACTCTTGCTTAGTGGTTGTTCTCTTGTTATGGTTTTGTTTGACAGAATTGGTGTAACATCAGTAGATCAAGGTGAAGGGTTCAGAAAATGTCAGCTTACATTCTAAGAGCACACTACTAACAAGGACGAAAGCGCCAAGATCGCGTTGCAACACGTCTCTGCCTCTCAAGCATCCCACGAAACACGCAACCTAAACCGACCAACACGCAGGCTGAGGCTCGCGGAGCTGACCTAAATCGTACACCCTATTCTCGATAATTTTACACCCCCTCATCCTGAACCGCGATTTTTTTTGCCCGAGAGGGTGTGAAAATAAAGGGGCATATTCTCCCCGATAATTTCACTCTCGAGGCGCGGTAAAGCTGTGCTGGCAGGGAATGAAAATTACTTGAATGACCCTCCTCAGTGTTGACGATCTTGGACAATATTTCTGTCCAATGAAAAGTAGTCACGTCAGGATTGTGTTTATCGTAATCCTGACCACAAATTCGAATTTGAGTGTCCACACCCAAAATCGAAAACCTAATCACAAATGGGTTGAAAATTCGACACATGCGCATGGTTTGGAAGTAACATGCCTTTGTAGCAGATGCAGTCCCAAATTTCCAACCCAAAGCCGTGCAACGAAAACTGACACCTTGTGATGACCCGAAAGAATCCCTAATCTCCACCATATCTCTGGGCTGCTGACAGTATAAATAGCGGTCATTTCTGCAATTGTAAGCTCAATGATCCTTCACGGTTCGCCAGCTCGGCAGCCCAAAGCCCCTGCTGGTGATCCTGAGTCAGGGTATAAAATTAGAGGCTGTTTAATTATCGAAAATAGGGTGTACATGCAAAGGTGTGTGAAGGCGTGAAAGCAGCAGGTGTGATCGTGTGTCTGGGCTGGGCTCGTCCAATCCGAAACTTTGTCGTTTTGGTGCTGCAGAGAACCCTGAACCCGAACCCCCAAATCTGGGTTGACCTTCAGTTTCCTTGCCAGCTACAGAGGTTGACTTCCTCGATTTCGCTCGTGGTTGTAGATTTCCTCCAACCTCGCTATAGGATTTCCTCCAACCTCCAACCTTACTGAAAAGAGACGCGCTACACCCAGAGAGTCCCAAGGAGAGTGAAACATCACATTTACCAAATGTGTTGTGTTGAACTATGTCATCATTACCATTTTACCCACTCATGGTGAGCTCTACTAGTAAGATGTTGGCATACAATACTTGCAATAAGAGAACACTCCGAATGCAAATCTCGCACACATGGTGATGTCAACCTGAGCTTTCATTTCATTGTCTCTTCATGCTACTAACAGCTTGAGGGCAGTAACAGAAGTGGTAACAATCCTCCACCATCTCTGTGATCCAATCCACGTAATCGTCCCATTTACACTCCCCTGTTGTAGTTGCAAATTCTTCGGTAGCATCCCTTAGTGTGCACAATGAGATCTCCTCATAAGGTGATGAGGAGTCCCCTGGTTGCTCACCCCCACTCTGCTTCTCAGCAGCGGCAGGCTCGGCAGCAATAGGCTCGGCAACAATAGGCTGGGCAGTGGTGGGCTCTGCAGTATTAGGCTTTCCAGCAAGAGGCGCAGCCGCAACAGGACATGTTGCAATAGGTTCTGCAGTGATATGCTCTGGAGCAGTAGTCTCTGTATTCACGGGGGCGATAGGTTCAGCAGCGATGGGCTCGTCAGCATTCGGCTCGGCACTGACAACATTTGCATGATTAAAAGGCGGTTCGGGTGTGCTAGGCCCAGCAGCTCTAGGCTCTCCTGAGACAAGCCGTGCCTTGGAACACATCAATCGTACAAAACTCCCTGTCAGCTTAGACTCTCCCTCTCCTTCACTTCCCGCCCTGCGCGGCTGGATCCCTGCTCTCATAGCCAGCCCGACGGCCCTACTACCCGGCTGCCACACGCCTTGGCTCCCCCCCTTTACAATCACGGACTCCTGCATGGTGTCGGCTTCCGCACTCTTTCGCTGCAGTTCTGCTTGAGCCCCCTTATTTACAATCACGGACACCTGCATGATGTCGGCTTCTGGTATAGGCTCCAGCACCACCCGCCCCGCCAAGTTCCGCCTGCTCATCGTTCCCAGCATCCCCTGCCACGCGTCTGCTGATTCTTGAGAGCTCTCGAAAACCATCATATGCCATGCATCTGCTGCTTCCGCCATGATTATCACTGCTGGCGTTGCTCGGGCGATTTTCCATCCTTGTTCCGAGTCCTCCCCACCCGCCCCGTTCTCTTGCCCCCCGCCAGAACGACTGCTCATTTCTTGGCTATCACAGCTAGTGCTATTGATAGGCTCGTCTACGTGTCCGAAGGTACTACTAGTATCGCTCCCGCTTGTTGCATCTGACTCATCATGACTCCGCATGCTGCCCAAATCTCCGCATTCCATTTCTGATTCAGCGGTAGATAGTAGGGGAGGAATAGCCGCGGAAGCTGATGGCGGGGCCGAAGCCGCGGAGGTTGATGGGGGGACGGCTGCGCGCAATTCCTGCTGTAGGCGTAGCAGCCGCTTCCGTCGGCGCGCTAGCGTCTCGGCGGACACAAGCGCCGCGTCAGACCACGGGCCGAACCGCACGACGATGCGCGCGACGCCGGCTGCTCCGGCGGTGGGGAGTAGCGAAGCGAGGCGCGAGTCGGCAGCCGCAGCGCATAAGGCGGCGCTTGAGAATCGGTTCAACGGGGATGCGATCGCGAACGGTGCGACGCAGGCGAACAGGCTCGACGAAGAGCTAGTGGCGAAAGGGCTGTTACCATCATTACTCGGTATTATCTCCGCTGAAGGATCGCGGGGCACTATTAGTTTCGTTGCTGGATGTATGAACGCCGCCGCCGCACCGCTTTCGGCGGTCGGCGGCCGAAAGCAGGGTAATCCCTCCAGAGCTTCGATTCGTTTTTGGGACCGCGACTTAAGGACGGGGGAGGGAACGCAGGTGCAATAGGCCGACTTGGGATTTTTGGCTTCGGAACGTTCCGAGTTGGCCGGACTGGGCGATGCCATCGCGTGCGTGAAGTTGGGGTCATCATCATCCCACTTTTCGGAGTCGTGAGCGCCCGTGAATGGTGATAGACAAACAAAGGACGCGATTTTCGAGGAATGAATGCCACAGCTAGAGCAACGAAACATCGCGTGCGTGTCCTTAGCAAAGAGTAGTTTTTTCTTTTTTCTACATGCTTCACGATCTATCTAATATGTGGAGGGGAAGCTATTTGAGTGGCTAGTGAGGTTTGAAATCGAAAAAAACTACAGATTGATAGCAAAGAGCGTCTCTTTGTGTGTTGTTGCCCTCCCCAACCAATGTGAATGAACGGGCTTGGCGAGGACATTGTAGGTTACTGAGGAACTTCGTTGGCTGAGTACAGAGTGAAGCGAACGAGTTCGCGACAACTTAGTGGCTTTGCGAGGGGTTTCGTTAGCTGGAGACAGAACGAGGGGATCATTGGGCTTGGCGAGAACCGGGCGAACTGTTCAATTCTGTTGAAGATTCTCCCAAGATGTGTTGGTCATTGTTGGTTGTTGGTGACGGGAGTTGCGGCAGGGTTTCTGCTTTGTGGCGAAGTGTGGCACCTCATTTCGACAGAGTTGCTGCTGGCGTAATCGCAGCCGTTGGATCATGACATGATGAATCTGGTCGAGACAGTAGGGGTGCCAATGTCACTGTTCGTAAGACCAGCAGAGTTTGATTGGTGGCGTTCCGTGGTGAGCACGCACTTCGTGCGATTCGGCACGTCAAGAAGAGTGCGACTGGAAAGTTTAGATCCAATACGGTTCCGCATAGACATACTAAAATCGCACGATCGATCGCCGCCTGGAGGCACATCGATTGCGTGAGCCACAGCTGACAAGACCAACACATATTAGAACAACGCACATATTAGAACAACGCAACAAATTTTCGTTCTTACCTCCAATTCGAGAATGCTGGAACCTCCAAGGCCGCCATGGCCGTTGATGCTCAGCCTGGAACTCATCGCGCGTGAAGCCTACGTATCAGCTGGCTTTAAAGACAACAGTTTTAAACTCGCCTTGTTACGACGAAGAGATTGGTACAACCTAGGTGTTCATCTGACGAACATTGTATCGAACTCCAACTCTAACCTATTGTTATCTCAGCTAACAAAGCTCAAGGCTCTCATACTCAGCACGTTAAGTCCAAGGTGTTGGAGGTTGCGTGGGGCTAGGTTTTGCCCCCAACCACCGAACGGTGCTGCTTTTTGGTTCTCACCTTCGAGTGAGTTGCAGGTTTGCGTGGGGTTGAGGATTGACTTCGGAAGACCCATTCGATTCGGTGCCACATGGCAGCACCAGGAACATTCGAGACCCAAGGAGAATTCGGATCGGTGAAATTCGAGAGTCGAATTTCACCCTTTCGATGTTACTCGAACATTCGCGAGTGTAGCGGTTCGAGGTTACTTGTGCGATTCGATCTTGTTTGCATGCTATAAATATGTTTTCTTTGTATTGCATGCCATCATAGTGAAACTCAAGTTCTTTGTACAAGGTACATTCGAACACAAATTCCAGAGAGCTCCTATCCTTCAATCAAAGAGCACTACCTAGCACATAAACGGCGATATCTCGCTCGATACTCAGGCGAACGAGGTGATCTACGGCCCGTTGGAAAGCTAGCAGAGTACTCTACTGTTTAGAACAATTCTCAGTTCCTGCAAAGTAGAGGAGAGTCCTCTACAACAGTGGTATCAGAGCTGGTCGGAGGAGTCTACGCGCGCGACAAGGAGCACGCATGATGACTTCAAGCGAGGCCTCCCGCACTTCCTTGGATGGTGTCGTTGTAAATTCCGGCGAACCCTGGGCAACCGCGACGATGTTCGACACGTCGGCGGTACCGATTTTCACGGGACAAAACTACTCCGCGTGGAAGTTTAAGTTCCAAGTGCTCATGATGGAGCGGGGACTTTGGGGTTTCTTCGATGGAACGGAGAAGAAGCCGGACGATGAGAGCGGCATCGCGGCATGGAAGAAGAAGGACCAAAAGGCGTTCGCTACGTTGATTTCGCGCATCGGCATCAATCTCGTGAGCTCGGTGCGCATGTGCATCAAGCTCGAAGCGTCGGCGCATGAAGCGTGGAAGCGGCTCGAGACCATCCACGTGAACAAGACTCTCCACGGCAAGATCCTAGCCCGGAATGCGTTCTACACGGTGAAGATGCGCGCGGGCGAATCGATGCACGAGTATGCGACTCGTGTGGAGGAACTCGGGGAAACGTTCATGGACCTCGGTGGAACGGTCACGGAGGAGGATTGGATTTTGACCTTGCTATGCGGCCTTCCGGAAGAGTGGTCGACGGTGATTACGACACTCGATAGCGTGCAAGACACTTGGACGAAGGAAATGGTGGTCGGTCGGCTTCTCCATGAAGAATCGCGTCGCCGACAATTCGCTAATGAGAGCGTGGAGACCGCCATGTTCTCCGGAGGGAGTTCCGGAGGAAAGTCCAAGTGGAGCAAGGGTGCGACGAAGAAGTCGTACGGTGGAAGCGATCGCGGCAAGGGAAACGCATCGAATGGCGCGAGCAAGTGCCACTATTGTGGCAAAGCGGGACACTTTTGGCGAGAGTGTCGGAAGCGGCCGAGCGATTGGACTCCATCGAAGGCGCGGAACCATGAGGGCAACGCGCACACGACATCTGGCGAGGCGGATGATTCAAGTGAGTCGATCGTGTTATTGGCCGGTGACGGGAACAACACACCAAGCAACGCGTGGTTCCTCGACACCGGCGCAACGCAACACATGACGCACTCAGCATCGTTCCTCACCAACGTTGGTGCACCACGAGACGTTAAGCGCGTCGTCTTCGGGAACAACAAGTCGCTACCCGTGGTCGGAGTCGGGAGTACGCGTCTCATCGTCGATAGCGGACCGGTGGACATCACGAACGTGCTTCACGTCCCGGGGTTGAAGGTGAATCTACTCTCCGTCACTCAACTCGCGAAGAAAGATGTGAAGTTCACCATCGATGGCGCGACGATGAACCTCTTTTGGAAGGGGAAGCAATTCGCACAAGGTGTCCTCAACGGAGAACTCTACGAACTCAAGACGTACTCGAGAGCGGCTTCATCCAACGTGGCGCAAGGCTCCAAGGCGACTCTCAAGGCGTGGCATAATCGGCTTGCGCACGCCAATTACGACTCGGTCAAGGAGTTGGCAAACAAAGGACTCGCGAAGGGAGTCGACGTGATCGCCGGCGACGACGAGAAGGGCGTGTGCGCGGCGTGTGTTGAAGGAAAAATGGCTCGCAAGCCATTCGGTAGCCGAACGTCACCCCTCGCTAAGGACCCGCTTGCACTTGTTCACATGGACGTGTGTGGACCGATGCGGCATGCATCAAAGGGAGGAGCGCGGTTCCTCTTGGTGATGCTCGACGACGCGACGCGGATGTGTTGGACCCGACTTTTGAAGGCTAAGGGAGATGTGGCCAAGGCGATTCAAGAGTGGGCGCTCGAAGTTTGCGACGATGACAAGAAGCGGATCAAGTGTATTCGCACCGATGGTGGTGGCGAATTCGTGAATGCGGAACTCGAGAAATGGATGAAGTGCAAGGGCATTAAACACGACGTCACAACACCCTACACACCCCAACAAAATGGAGCGGCGGAGCGGCTTAATCGCACGTTGGTGGAAGCCATTCGTTCTCTTCTTCAACACTCCAAGCTTGGGAAAGAGTGGTGGGGCGAGGCGAGTTCGCTAGCGGCGTGGATTCGCAACCGTTTGCCGACGAAGGTGCTCCCGGGAATGACTCCGAAGCATGGACCGGAACGAAGCCGAACCTATCCCGCCTTCGTACCTTTGGGTGCCTTTGCTACTACCATGTCCCGGATCCCCTTCGTCACAAATTGCAACCGACGGCTCGTGCGGCAATCTACTTGGGAATTGCGGCAAACGAGCGTGCGTGGCGAGTGTGGGACTTGGGTGAAAGGCGCGTCGTCACATCTCGAGACGTGGTCTTCGACGAGGACAAGTTTCCGTCGAAGGAACAACCAATGCCGCAACACACCGTCGTACTTCCCGCACGAGAGGAGGATGAGGCGGTGGAGGTTTCATCACAAGTGGACAATGAAGCCGAAAGTGGAGGGGGAGAGAACGAGGAGAGCGATGACGATGTCGTGGAGGTGCCACCAACCGAGGAGGCAACTCCCTCCGCACCTTCTTCCCTACCATTGGCGTTGACCCGTGGGCGTCGTACACCTCGCCCCAACACGAAGTTAGCGGACTACGCTACGGTAGCCGTTGGGGAGTTGGATGAGGAGCGTGCGGCATATTGCTTCGCAACCATGGGAGATGACCCTCGCACCCACGCGGAGGCTTTGGCTTCTCCGGATGCACCTCTATGGAAGCAAGCGATGGAGAAGGAGCTAGCATCGATCAAGGAGAACGATGTGTTCGAGCTCGTCGACCCGCCGAAGGGTGCCTACTTGGTGGGGTGCAAATGGGTGCTTAAGAAGAAGTTGGGAGCCGATGGGAGTGTCGAACGCTACAAGGCGAGGCTTGTAGCTCAAGGATACACTCAACGGGAGGGGGAGCACTATATCGAGACTTTCGCTCCCGTCGCTAAGGCTACAACTCTTCGGGTGTTGCTCGCGTTAGCGGCATCCCTCAACCTCGAGGTGGAGCAATTGGACGTTTGCACCGCCTTCCTCTACGGGCTTCTTATGGAAGAAGTCTACATGCGGCAACCCCCGGGGTACGATGACGGTAGCGGAAGGGTGTGGAAGCTCAAGCGTACCCTTTACGGCTTGAAGCAAAGTCCACGCGGATGGTACAAGCGCATCGACGACTTTCTTCTTCAACACGGCTTCGCGCGTAGCGAGTGCGATAGCGCTTTGTACGTGTTGAAGGAGGGGGAGAGGAAATTGGTGCTTTTACTCTACGTCGATGACTTACTCCTCTTCTCCGACTCCAAAGACCTCATTCGGGAGGTCAAGCAACGACTAGGAGCGGAGTTTGCTATGAGGGACTTGGGGCCGGTCACGTACTATCTTGGGATGCATGTCGACCGTGACCGAGCCAACGGGACCATCCACCTCCACCAAGAGAAGTATGTGAAAGGGGTAGTGGAGAGCTTCGGCATGGGCGATAGCAAACCGGTGGGAACACCACTAGCTACGGGGTTTTCTTGCCTCACGGGAGAGGAAGAATCCACCCTCGACGGAGCCGAAGGGAAGCGGTTTCATTCGCTAGTGGGCTCGCTCATGTATGCCGCCGTTTCTACTCGTCCCGACCTCGCATACGCCGCCGGGGTGCTTGGACGAGTCGTGAGCAACCCTCATACCGAGCATGTGCGCGCGGGAGGACGCGTTCTACGCTACCTCCAAGGCACACCTAACTTGGGGCTCGTGTATGAAGCCGGCCCGATTGAACTCAAGGGCTATGCCGACTCGGACTACGCGGGAGATCCGAGCACGCGCAAGAGTACCTCCGGGTATGTCTTCACCTTGCTTGGGGCGGCCGTGAGTTGGCAAAGCAAGAAGCAACCAACCGTGGCTCTAAGCTCAACGGAAGCGGAGTATATGGCACTCACTCAAGGTGCCATGGAGGCGATATGGCTACGACGTCTTCTAGCGGAGCTTGGGCATCCTCAAACGAACCCAACTCCTCTCTTTTGTGACAACCAAGCCACCATAAGCCTCTCTCACAACGCGGTCCTTCATGGACGAACCAAGCATATCGAAGTGAAGCATCACTTCATTCGTGAGGCGGTTGAGAAGGGTGAGGTCAAACTCACTTACATAAGCACCAAAGCTCAACCCGCGGACTTCCTCACTAAACCACTCCCTAAGGATTCATTCCGTGCATGCTGTGAGCGTGTTGGATTGAGCACCTAGTGGCTTGGGTGCAAGGGGGAGTGTTGGAGGTTGCGTGGGGCTAGGTTTTGCCCCCAACCACCGAACGGTGCTGCTTTTTGGTTCTCACCTTCGAGTGAGTTGCAGGTTTGCGTGGGGTTGAGGATTGACTTCGGAAGACCCATTCGATTCGGTGCCACATGGCAGCACCAGGAACATTCGAGACCCAAGGAGAATTCGGATCGGTGAAATTCGAGAGTCGAATTTCACCCTTTCGATGTTACTCGAACATTCGCGAGTGTAGCGGTTCGAGGTTACTTGTGCGATTCGATCTTGTTTGCATGCTATAAATATGTTTTCTTTGTATTGCATGCCATCATAGTGAAACTCAAGTTCTTTGTACAAGGTACATTCGAACACAAATTCCAGAGAGCTCCTATCCTTCAATCTAAGAGCACTACCTAGCACATAAACGGCGATATCTCGCTCGATACTCAGGCGAACGAGGTGATCTACGGCCCGTTGGAAAGCTAGCAGAGTACTCTACTGTTTAGAACAATTCTCAGTTCCTGCAAAGTAGAGGAGAGTCCTCTACAACACAAGGTTCCGCCTTATCTTGCATGACAACAAAGATCGCTATTATTGGCTTACGAGATTGTGGTTTCCACATCATGAATCTCACCTCAAGGTCCTTTCAACGACTGCTCAGCACCTGCATCAGGAGCAGTGGCTGGCTGTCTTCGTATTACTACTACTTAAGCAACCAGGGATCAGACAACCGGCATATCAGGCTTCTTGTGCCCTCCTCTCCTCTCTACTACCAGTCTTAAGTCATCATAGCACCATGCCACGTGTGCCAGCCAAGGGGAAGCATGCGGTGGAAGATCAGCCAGTTAAGGATACCCCAGTCTTAACCACGACCGTGACTAAGGCTCCGTTATCTGAAGGGACTGACGCTGCTGCATCTACTGAGACGTTGTTGCAGCCAGACTCCATCGCTGGCGACTCTGGCCTCTCGCCTGCAGAGAAGGCAACCACAACAGTGCATCAGCTACCTTCAGATGGTTTTCTGGAAGACGACTCAGATGAAGAACTCGACATTGACATTCAGCAGGAGGCTTCTGCACGCCTCCGCTACACGGCGATTCTACTGATACCTTTCATGATGAATAATGAGTTGGGGAGCATCATCAACACAGTGTGGGTTCTGCTTCGGAAAGTTTGGGCTCCGTCACTCACAGCTGCATAAGCAAAAAGTTGAGGTCCCAAGACGGTCCCCCCATTTTAACCTTCCCTAAAGACTTTTTAGGGGCTCTCGAAAATGTCCCACATCTGTCTACGGGCCCGAAAGAGAATTTCGGAAGAGTGTACAGTGGTTCCCGAAAACCTTCCGTCCTAAAACTGTTCCGCGAAGTCAACAAATTCGTTTTAAAAATGTCCGTCAATCTGAACCAGCTTGCTATGTCTTAGTCCACGTGAATGACTGTAGACCGAAAGGTCACGGGTTCGAATATTGATGTCAACAAATTTGGAACGTAAAGTGTTTTTATATAAATTTAGACTGCCTTGTGATATTTTGTTGATGCATATGATAAAATCTGACTTATGTTAATGGGTTTGCATTAATTCCGAGCGCGATAGATGGTGTGTTAATCTTCAACATTTTAATTACATTCGAAAATAATGCAGTGAAATGTAGTCCAGTTACCATACTTAACGTCGATAACTGTTATCGAATTAGCTTTTAGCAGGTGCGGTGCGAATTACAGGTAACTATTTTGAGACTCTCGCCAAATTCGTAAGTCAGACGCGCCCCCTCCCCAACCCCACAAACAATCGATCGAGGGGGAGGGGAGGCCAAATTTTCGCGATTTTCATAAGTCCTCCCCCACCCCCCCCCCTCCCCCCCGCCCGCCCCTCACAAACAATCGATCGAGGGGGAAGGGGAGGCGAAATTTGTTAACAGGAATGGAGTGTTGGCCCCGCCCTCGCTTGGGGAACGCCGACGACTTGGTCGGATGCACGGGAGTAGCAGCCGACTGTTCACAGTGGGATAGCTACTCGATAGGCTACGTCGAGCTGCAGCGGACCGCTGTGGTGTTGCTGTCGACCAAGGAGCTCGACAGCTGCAACTCACTGGTCTGTGCGACGGGTGTGCTGTCAGGGAGGTCGACGAAGCAGTCCGTCGACCTACAGTTCGACCGGGAGGTCGACAGAGCAGTTCTGGTCGACAGAAGGGGTCCGTCGACCAGGGGGTAGCTCGACGGGAGTTGTGGTCGACCAGGAACGCCAGGTGGTCGACCAGAGGGACCCAGTGGTCGACCGGAGGCACCTGGGGGTCGACCAGAGCACCAGGGGTCGACCAGGTCGACCGAGTAACCTTCTCGACGAGTTCTGCGAAGGCTCGCGAACGTCGTCAAGATCGCGATGGCGCAGGCGACTTCGGACTGGTATCCCGAAGTCGATGTGGCTCGTCAGGCGCAGACAACAGCCGATGGATGCCCAACGAGGCAAGTCGGGCCAATCGTCTGCGCACACCTGCGAGCGCGCGCACTGCTGTGTTCTACGGGGCACGCCGTCGACCTGCTTTGTTGGCAGGTCGCCCTTCTGCAGTGCTGGCGCGGCTCCTCTACGCAATGCTGGCAGGCGGTCGACCGAGCTGCGCTGGCGGTCGACCAGGCTAGTCGCAGGGTTGCTAGGTGCCTGATGTAGTCATTGTTGTCATTGCTTCTTGTATTGTTCTCGATTCTTAACTTTGCTAGTGGAAACTCTTGCCAATTTCTCCTGTGAATGTGCAAGCACTAAGGAACCAAGCAAAGCTACGATCACCTCTAGTAGTTCGTGCCAACCCTGTAGCCCATCTCACTACCGCTGTAGAGTGTATCTCCGCAAAATTCTCGCCAATTTCGTAGCCCCCCCTTCCCCCCCGCCCCTTCAGAAACAATCGATCGAGGGGGGAGGGGAGGCGAAATTCTCGCCAATTTCGTTAGTCCCCCCCTTCCCCCCCGCTCCTCACAAACAATCAATTGAGGGGGGATGGGAGGCGAAATTTGTGTGCCTCACAGATGACGCCAAATCAGCGTCACCTGGGAGGCAAAAAGCTTTCGCGCCACCTGTCATGCACACCGAATTGTCACCTGCCAGCTGATCACAAAAAACGCACACGTCATCACATGGAACAGATATAGGGTGCACCACAATCACTTGTCAACCACCTGTCACAGCACCTTCCTCATCTCTTGCACAACACGATTACCGACGTGAAACCTTCCTAAAACCAACCTAACCTCATCAAAACCCATCTTGCTTCAAAACGTATTGCATTTAACTTGAGTCCACTCTTATTGCCCACTCTCATTCTCCTTTCAGTTAGACGTGTTCTATTCTTGTGTTTGCCAGTTTTGTTCCGTTGGTTCCTTCACCACTTGTAGATGTGTTTGCCCTCGATTTTCGCTATCCTGTATATGTTAAGCATCTGACAAGCCTTTAATGATTTCGATAATGATAGAAATATTTTGTATTCTTCTGCTAGAAATATTTTTCCCCAAAACATAAACACGTTTATATCTCTTAGTTACCATGTGAAGATAGTAGGTAAGTGATAGAAGCCATAGCTAGGACTAACCTAGCTAGGCAAGGACAGTTTAGAAAAGAGAGGAGGGGTTTGCACTAGCAAGCAAGGGGATACATATGTGAAACCCTAAGGGGTTATACTCGCTATAGAGTACCCCACTGCAGGCTAGAGAACAAATATAACATTCTGACACACCCCCATAGCCAAAGTGGGGTGTAATCAGCAGAGCAAGCAAAACAGAACAAGCTCAGGGTGGATCACAATGTCACCACATAGTCTGAGCACAAGTTCAAGCAGCAGTAGTATAAAGTTCACAGTTATAAGCAAAGCTAGAGGTAGTCACAACGGGCAAGTGAGGAGGAGGAGAGAGAGTGAGAGGAGAGGAGATAGGAGGCGACGGATGAAGCTGTAGACACACGGGCAACAGGAGGCAGACTGGCACAGCGGCTACCGGACGAAGTCCCCGGAATACAGGAGTAACTGGCCCCGCGGCTAAAGTAGCGGCAGACGAACAACGGACCCACGGGCGGCTGGCACAGCTGGCTACGACTGGGCTACCAGACGAAGTCCCCGGACTACAGGTGCTGCTAGCGACACAGCGGCAACCTCCATTCAGCTTCCCCAAGCTATCCTACTCCCCCTGGCACACACCCACTGCTACACCGCTAGCTCCACTCCCCCTTCACCCCCCCTTAGTATCACTCCACCGGCTCCAACACGTCCACCCCCCCCCTCAGCGGCATCTGCAGCACAAGGAGACGGAGGAGGAGGAGGAGCAGGGAGCAGTACAGAGTAAGGTCACCCCCATACCCCTCACCCCCAAACCCTAATTTAGGAGGATGGGGAGTATGAGGGGTGGGGCGGCCGTGAAAACACTGGGGGACAGCGGGGAGGGACGGGGCAGGGAGGAACGGGCCCACCACGGGCCTGGTAGGGACGCCCGAGCCGCGCGCATGCGGCCCGAGTCGCGCGCAGGCCTGGCGCAGTCCGTACGGGCCGCGCGCTGGCCTGGCGCCGCCCGTACGGGTCGTGCGCGGGCCTGGCGCAGCCCGTACGGGCCTGGGGCAGCCCGTACGGGCCACGCGCGGGCCTGGCGCAGCCCGTACGGGCCGCGCGCTGCCTGTACGGGCCGCGCACAGGCCACGACGGGCGACGGGGGGGTGAAGCGCGGGTCCCCGTCGCCCGTCGCAGCGTCTCCCGGGAGCAGCGCGCGACATGACGGGGTAGAAACCCGCCGCGCGCCTCGGGGCGCACGGCGGGAAGAGAAACGCCGCGCGCCTCGAGGCGCACGGCGGGCAGAAAACCGCCGTGCGCCTTGGGGCGCATGGCGGTAAGGGAAAGTAGCAGTTGCAGCGTAAGGATTGTGGTTAGGCACACAGGCCAGGAGCTTACTGCTCTGGTAACCATGTGAAGATAGTAGGTAAGTGATAGAAGCCATAGCTAGGACTAACCTAGCTAGGCAAGGAAAGTTTAGAAAAGAGAGGAGGGGTTTGCACTAGCAAGCAAGGGGATACATATGTGAAACCCTAAGGGGTTATACTCGCTATAGAGTACCCCACTGCAGGCTAGAGAACAAATATAACATTCTGACATACCACCGTTGAAACTCCGCTATAATAATGTAGTAGGTTCTGTTGTACGATCCTTGATGTATCTCACTATTTTTGTTGCTCATATTCATGGCTACATGATGCTATGAGTGTCTCCTCCCATTGGTCATGTTATGATGTTCTTATCATGCACCATAGTTCATTTTTTTTTTATGTACATCTTTGTTGCAGTGGATGATGATTTCACCGTGGACCAGGTTTTCTTTTTCAGTCAGGCATCATTGAAGGTACGTATGCAAAAGTTCAGCATATGATGTGTCGTTCGTGTGCTTTTTATGTCTCCTACATATCGTTTGCCACTTGATCTCGCTAACCGTCATTGGATGATGCTATGTGAGTGACCTGGTTACTTTCCTTGTTTTTTTTACTCATCCAGAATCCACTGCAGCTGTCGTTTTTTTGTATGTGGGCAGTTGAACGTAAGCCTTCTAATGTGGTGCGGATTATTTCGTGATGCAGGGTTACAGTGTCGTAACCAGCTCGTTGGTTTTACATGCTCTCTCGTTTTCTCCAATATAAGTCAATTTTCAAGTTAAACTTCCAATAATCTGGCTATTTGTTTATTGTGTCAAATGCAGAAACGCTGGATTTATTACATTTGTAAATGCATTGTGGAAACCTTCTACTGTTGACTTTTTATCCAGGA